AAGGATTACCCAGAAATGAGTCGAAGTACGTTATGGAAACTTTTAAAAGAAATAGGCTTCCGCTGGAAAAAGAATCCCAGAAAGCCTATTTTATTAGAAAGAAGCGATATTGTCATATGGAGAAGACATTTTCTAAGAACCATAAAGGAAATGAGAAACCAAAAAAGAAAAATATTTTATCTTGATGAAACATGGATCAACGAGGGTCATACACCAAATAAATTTTGGCAGGATGAAACTGTTACAAGTCAAAGGCACGCTTTTGTAAATAACTTATCTACTGGTTTAAACCCACCATCAGGAAAGGGACGCAGGCTGATAATAGTACACATTGGCAGTTCAGACGGTTTTGTTGAAGGTGGTTTATTAACTTTTGAATCAACTCGTACCGGTGACTACCATGAAGACATGAACGCTGATGTCTTTCAAGAATAGTTCGAACAAATGATAGATCTTCTTCCTAAGAACTGTGTAATAGTAATGGATAATGCAAGTTATCACTCCAGACTTATATAAGGACTGCCCACAACCAAGTGGTTAAAAAAAGACTTGCAGAATTGGCTGAGTTCAAAAAATATTACGTACCATCCCGGATCTATAAGAAAGGAACTTTATTCGTTGTGTGCCCTTCATAAAGAAAAATTTAAAAAATACGAAATTGATAAAATTGCCAAAAATCGTGGAATGACAGTACTTAGATCCCCACCATATCATTGCAAATTAAACCCGATTGAACTGGTATGGGCACAGATAAAGAGTGAAGTTTCAAGAAAAAATACCACTTTTAAAATTTATGATGTTAAACAGTTGTTTTTGGAGGCCGTAAATAATGTAAAACCTGAAAACTGGGAAAAGGCAGTAAATCACACTATTAGAGAAGAGGAAAAAATGTGGAAGCTGGACAATATTACTGATAAAATGATCGAGCCAGTTATTATAAATCTTGGTTCTGAAAGTTCATCTTCTGAATCTGATTTGGATTTGTAACAAGTAGCTGTAAGTTTTATATTAATATTTTTATTCATCTATTTAACATACCTTAGACGGTTTTAAAAACTCTTTTTCTCTTTTGTAATTTTTAAAAATTAAAAAAAATGTAAATTTTTTAAAACCCTTTTTAATGTAGGCCAGTCAGTTCTAATATAGTGTGTGATAAAAGAGGTCACTTTTGTTTACATACACATAACACTTTATAACACTGAAATAATTCATTTATTTTTTACAATTATTCAAAGTAATTTTTCAATTAATCTTGAGCACGCCCATGGAGTGGTCAGAGGTACCAGTTAAAATTATGCTAATTACTCTCTCGTTCATAAAAATAAACTATAGGAACTGATATAATTCACTGATGATTTGGCTACGGTGCGTTGAATTAAAATGTTTGGCCTTCTTGGTGCTTTTAGATCATTGTGGATGGTTGCATTACTCACGTACCAAGTGGGGTTAGCTATCATAAGCAGTGTTTTTAATTAGAAGGACTGCAAATTATTTGTGTTTACAGGGTTGCTACAACCCCAAAGTTCTACGCCGTAAGTCCATATTGATTTTAGTATAACTTTGTAAAGCAGTATTTTGTTCTCCATTGACGGTTTTCACTTTCTTCCAAGTAACCAATTCATTTGTTTTACTTTTATAATGAGCTGAGTTTTTTGGCGTTAATGTGTTACTTTCAGGCCATATTTCGGTCCAAACGCTACCCAAGATGCTATCACATCTGGCACTGTTTAGACTAACTTGTGGATAAGTGCGTTTTCTTGGAAATGTGATTTGCCAACCAATTGTCTCTAATGTATACAAGTATTGTTCTGAAGCTATTTTCTTGTGGCATTGTAAATTAATTACTATTTATAACTGGGAATAAGCCACAATTAAAGATAAAAATACGTTTATTGACGTTTCAATTTCCAATTCGGAAATCGTTCTCAAAATACAAACAGTAAATTAAACAAATTTTGTTTTTTGTTACATAGTGAAAAAATTCTTCTAATAATTTAATTTTATCTGACTCATTTATATTGACAATTCAGACATACATTATGCATTTTAAAGTAGACGACTTTAAAATGATATTGCCAATATTGTTGAGTTGCGCTCCTGGGACGACTTTACTTATAAGATAGTTCATTCGATTACATGAAATCAACTTTAACTTGAGAATATCCGTCAGAAAAAATCATAGCATCTAATTCGTCTTTAAAAAGACAAACACATGACATGATGACAGTAAAATTCTCCTGTTAGTGATTCCATAGTAAATTATGAGGGAAAAACCAGGAAAAAAACCTCATAATACTATCCCGACATTGTAAGTATTTGTTCGTGAATTTAGTTTACCTTCAACAAACATCAAAAATTCTGATTTTATATGTTACGTTATTTAAAAACATAAATGATGTATCCTCTATATGTTACTGACTTACTAATACTGGTATTTTCTTATTAATAACTTCCTCTTTCAATATTGGTAACCAGATCCTACTACATTCTGCCGAGGAATTTGCGACACAATTGGCCTCATTTAGCATAATTAGAGCCGCTTCTTTGATTTTTCTTTTTTTACCATCCGTTTCTTTTAGGACTATATTTGAATTATTCCATTGAACCCTATGTTCATTATCCCATGCGTGTTTACATATTTGAGATCTATCAAATTCTCTATTTTTAATATAAGATTGATGTTCACTTATTCTAACATTTAATGGCCTTGATGATTCACCTAAATAAAACTGATCGCATTCACAAGGTATTTTATAAATGCAATTCTTTGTCCTTTCTTGTTCATTGTTAGGTTTGGTTTTGGACAAAATAGATCTCAACGTGTTTGTTGTTTTGAATGTTGTTGAAATGTTGAATTTATTTCCTATCCTTTTAAGTTTTTCTGATAATCCTTTTATGTACGGTATTGTTATTTTCCTCATATTATTCCTTGTGTATGCTGTAGGATCTCGTTCTAAGTTGTTCTGTTCTATTCGATCGATTGTTGAAAATTCCTTATTTATAAACGATAAAGGATAATCATTTTTTAATAAAACAGATGTTAACAAATGTTTCTCCTCCAAGAACGAATTTTCGTTAGAACAAGTAATTTTGGCTCTATCGTATAAGGATTTAATTATTCCCTTTTTTACATTAATATTGTGATTTGATTTGAAATTTAAATATCTATTGGTGTGTGTTGGTTTTCTATACACCTGAGTCTCATATCCAGTATCGTTCTTAGAGATTAAAACATCCAGGAAAGGTAGCGTGTTATTATATTCCTTTTCCATGGTAAATGTTATTGTCTCTTCTTTATCGTTTATATCGTTTAGGAATGTGTCCAACAACTCTGATCCATGAGGCCATATTGAGAATACATCATCTACATACCTCCACCATACTGTGGGTTTGAAATTTTGTTTAGAAATGATATTTGTTTCAAAATCTTCCATAAATATATCGGCTAAGAATGGAGATAAACTAGAGCCCATTGCTAGACCAAAATTTTGTTTATAGAATTCATTATTTAGTTGAAAATATGTATTATCAGTACATAATGTTAATAACTCCATTATAGCCGATATGTTTAGTCTTGTTCTAGTTGCCAATGAATCATCACTCTCTAATTTTGTCTTGACTATACTTAAAGTCTTATTTAATGGCACATTCGTAAATAAACTATTTATGTCAAAACTTACCAAAGTATTATTTGAATTAAATTCAATAATTGATAATTTATTTAAAAAATGTTGTGTATTTTTTATGAATGTGTCATTTTTATTTGTATAAGGTTTTAAAATATTTAATAAAAATTTTGATAGTTCACTACAAGGAGAATTTATGGTACTACAAATGGGTCTAAGTGGTATATTCGTTTTATGAATTTTCGGTACTCCATAAAAATGAGGAGTCTTACTGTAATGAGGTGTAATTAATCCTCTCTGATAACTTGTTAAAACATCTTTAAACTTGAATAAAGTTCTATATATTTTGTTTTCCAAAGGCTTTGTTGGATCTTTTGTTAATTTTGTATAAGGTCCGTTTATTAATAGATCTTTAATTTTATTTTCGTATTGAATTTTATCCATTATTACAGTTAAATAAAATCATAATCAGTAACATATAAAATCAGAATTTTTGATGTTTGTTGAAGGTAAACTAAATTCACGAACAAATACTTACAATGTCGGGATAGTATTATGAGGTTTTTTTCCTGGTTTTTCCCTCATAATTTACTATGGAATCACTAACAGGAGAATTTTACTGTCATCATGTCATGTGTTTGTCTTTTTAAAGACGAATTAGATGCTATGATTTTTTCTGACGGATATTCTCAAGTTAAAGTTGATTTCATGTAATCGAATGAACTATCTTATAAGTAAAGTCGTCCCAGGAGCGCAACTCAACAATATTGGCAATATCATTTTAAAGTCGTCTACTTTAAAATGCATAATGTATGTCTGAATTGTCAATATAAATGAGTCAGATAAAATTAAATTATTAGAAGAATTTTTTCACTATGTAACAAAAAACAAAATTTGTTTAATTTACTGTTTGTATTTTGAGAACGATTTCCGAATTGGAAATTGAAACGCCAATAAACGTATTTTTATCTTTAATTGTGGCTTATTCCCAGTTATAAATAGTAATTAGTATACAAATAATTTTGCAGCTTCTAAGTTGCTATGTATGGGTCTTTATTTCAAACGAAAATGGCTGTATCATCGACACAGGAGAAGGTACGTATAGCAGTAAAGATTTTAATTTATATAGCAAACCGTTGGGCCAGACTTTATTAAAAGCCTGCTAAATGTTGAGAAATACAAAGGCACACATAGTCTTTTCTTACAAAATTTTATTCAAATAATAATAATATAAATAATTTTATACAAAAGATTAAAATCTTTGATTTTATTTACTATTCTATGAAACAGATCACACAGATAGTATTCTATGAAACAAAAAAATCAAACAGATGTTTGAGTATTATGTTCTGGAGTGGTACAGTTATGTTCAATTTATTTACCAAAAGTTTTTCAAATATCTTGGACATCAAGGGTAACAAGCTAGGAAATTGTGTTCTAGTTTGCAGGATTATACCACAAGCAAACAATTTCTTTTTAATTCGTTTTTCAAAAAGCGGAATTGTCATAAAAGAGTTATCAAAGTAAAAGCAATAACCTTTTTCGGCAAATAGTTTGCTGAAATCCAGGATGACACTTTCTTCCAATGTATCACTAGTACCAAATGTTTTTTGACCCTCGAAATATATGTCATAACAAATGGATTAAATCGGGCATTTATTTAAGTTTATATATGACACTGACAAATTAAAAATACTTCAATTATGTCATATCTTAGGTTCTAATTTCAGTAATATTACAGTTGAATCTAAATAAATGTAATCTATTAAAATCACACAAATTTTCGGATGTAGAAAAAATCAAAAATACTAACTAAACATTTTTCAAGATTTTTGGTATATACAGGACTTAATTGCAGAGCAAATATGTCATCGTACAAAAGAGAAACATTGAAAAATAGTGATACACCATCTTTTCCAACATTGCTTACTTCAAAATCAAGCCATAGGGTAAATTATATAATTATTTCAATATTATTTCATTTCTATAAACTTTCTTGGGGTTAATTTTTCAATAGAAAAGCTTCTTGTAAGTTACAACTTTTCGCGAAATGAATTATATGTTGGAAAACATAAACATAAAACATAAAATAAATAAGAATATGAATTTATATTAAAATATATTAATTCAACTACCTTACCTATAACTCAATTTGTCTTAGGCTGTATTCTCATGAGACAGTATCTCTGTTGTTGTATTTTCAAGAGGACCAAAAGGAATAATAAAAATACAGATTATTATCAATTGATTGTATGGAAAATAAGATTAAATAAAAGATTTTAAATGTAAAATTTATCAATATACTGTTATAACACAAAATTCATGTAACTGCTATATAAAATGATCAAAATTTTCCAACAGATCAAAATTATGACATCTAATTTGTAAAAATCCAAATATACAGAATATATGGTTCTTACTCGTTATTTAATTCTAGAAATCAAATAAGAAAAACTGTTTCTATTCATAACTGTCCTTATTATATAAACTGAAAATTTCAAATAAAAAATTTAATCAGTAACTTGACAGGGATTCCTCTTGTTAAAATTATGATTCTGCTAGTTCAAGATACTTTACTCCGGGGTCGATCTTTGCTCAAAAAATGATCTCTTATCGAAATAAAATATTGACAATCAAATGCTGTTTACAACTCTCGAAATCTGGTAGCCTCTAAAAAAAAAACATCGAAAGATTCGCCTCAGATAATTTGTTGTATTTAAAAAAGTTAACTTAAGATTTTTTTGGAAAATCTCTGTTTTGCACTACTTAGCTGCTACCACATAAACTTAATATACTCTTCCTCTATTTCCTACTGTTGTTTCATTATATACACAACATAGTACATGCTTCTAACCTGACTAGAACAAAGTTTACGTCATACACTCATTTACAATAAAGTCAAACTTTATTGTTGCCAATTGTTGGCAGTCTTTGAAAACAATTTCTTTTTTTACTAAAGACCCTTAGATCCAAAATGACAAATAGCAATATGGATGTCAAGAAAAAAAATCATAAAAGATCTCACCGGTGGCTAACAGGCAGCTGAGTATAAGGAACAGCATAAATCAGTAGGAAAGATTCTTCTCAGGGATAGCTACCAAACTGGAACTTCACCACATAAAGCATCTCCCTTATTATAAATACTTATCACATTGTATACTTAAGAATGACAGCTACAAGTTATACTGGTACCGCACTGTGCTCCCAGACCAACCAGTGGCGCATAGCAGACCAGATTTCATACTAGTAATAAAGTAAATAGGCAGAAACTTGTTGATGAAATAATATAACAAATAGATCGCCAAGTGGATAGATCTAATTCTTAAAATACAGAGACTATCATCTATTAATTTGTCACATCCTTTTTAGTCTAAAGTATCTTTCCACATTGTGCTCAAAACAAGACAACAATATCATAGAGCCTCAAAAGAAAAGATGCACTAGGGTTCCATCGGCTGCAAAGAACATGATCTAAGTAATTTTTAGGCAGGTATATACCAAAAAAATAGCCCTATTTACTGTCTCATTGACTACAGCAAATTCTTATACGCAGTGCCTGGTAAATAACATATATATATTATTGTGATATTCAAAGTCTTAGTGCGCCTAGCAATTAATTAGCTAATTAATTAATTAAAATTATTTAAATGATATGATTATGATTCTATCACACTTTTCAATTCTCTTATCTCAGGGTTATATTCGTGCTTCAATATGTATGCTTTACATGTGAAAGGTAAGGTCCAAAGAATACCGGAATAATAAAAAACACATACGATATAACATTATATATTGAAAAAAAAAAAAATGAAATAAAATTCACACTCAAATGTTTTCAATAAACAATATTTCATATAATGATTCTCAAAATTTTGTTCTACGTACGTGAACCTTCAAAATTATTAGTACAAACAATTTTAGTTAAAATCTCAAAATCACAATTATTATTCTAAATCTCCTAATCAAAATATTTATATCTTTTCTAAAGTAATTGTAAAAATTGTGTTATCAATAAAAGAAAAACTACAGAAAAACAAAACTATCTCTCTCTGATGATGAGTGGTCCAAATCCTTGTTCCTTGTAGCCTATACTATCTATTCTTAGCAGCTCCCTAGGTAATCAGCAATCTTACAACAAATTGTTGCAAGTTTATCGTCCTTAATGATCTCCTTCAAATGCACGAATCGTTCAAATTATGCTAGCCTCTTCTCCTCTCGATAAACTGAATCTCTCGTTGGCCTGAGTGAAAAATGACTCTTGGAATATCTTCTCTTTACGATAAACTGAATCTCTCGTTGGCCTGAACAGTGACTCTTGGAATATAAGTAGAAAAATATGACTTACAATCTTTTACTGGATCAGCTTCTGTCAGATACACTAACTACACGAAAACTCACAAACTTTCACTGCTACTGCTTCCTACCTCTGGGAAACTACCCGAGAACAACGGCCGTTCGCCTTGCACCCTTGGAAACCAACTGACTATCTTTTTTTTCTTCCAAAACTAACTAACGTCTCATTCTCAAACCAACCATCCCACCTTTTTCAATCTCATCCAATCAAAACGCGTCATACATCTCCCATTTCTTCATTTCGATAACACAAACAAATTTTTACCTACAATTATAAAATTTCTTAAAACTTATTTACAAAATAATCTTTTTCTATAAAATCTTATGAACTAACAAAAACATATCTTTCTAAAATCTATTCTATTGTCCTAATTACTGCACAAATTTATTTGGAAAACCCGCTTCCATTGTCTAGGATTTCACTTAAGCTTATGCAGGTCACTCAAATATATTTTAACAAAGAAAATAATTTATGCATATCTTACGTTTTGTTCAATACAGGTAATCCAAAATTAAAAGACTTTCATTCTTTGAAATGTTTGTAGTTTATTGTTTGACTTATCTGAATTATTTTAATTTTTTTTAACTTTGAAATATTTTAAGCAAACCAATATTTTTCTCGATTTTACATATCATAACAATATATATTAAGAACAGTTACATATTACGATATTTAACTAGCCAGTTAAACATTTTCAAATCAGCGGGTTGTATGCCGAAAATAATATTATGTTATTTATTTTTTGTGTAGTTATATATATTTTAAATTAACCTCTTAACATATTTAAATAATTTATAGTGGTCTATGGATTCATCCCACTACGAACACATGTTTTCCAAACAATATTGCGACAGTAAAAGAAGTATGCGCAAGTCTTATGAATTAAGTTCCACATCGTCAATAGAGAGACTATCAGTATTTTTCAAGTAAGTTTATCATAACAACTAATAAACATTGGCCTAAAAACATTTCATTTGATCAGAAGGGGTTCCGAGAGAGTTCTCTTTGCTCCTGACCAATACGGGAGGTATGTGAACAAAATGTCCAGTAAATCCAGTAAATCCATGGTTGACACCATTGCACTAAACAATCAATGGGCTCTGAAGTCGGAACGCAGAAAACCTGTGAAACAGTTTTGCACGGGTAGCAGGTATTTAGGGGAATGGAACTATTTTGGGATGTCCGGCCAAGGTGTTTACAGATATCCTCATGGTAAGTAAAAGCACAGGGTAAACCCCGTTAAGATAGGCAAAATGCCCTCTCTCCTAGAATTCTCAGTGCAATTTTAGTCCGCCACCGCTCACCCCCACGTCCTACCCCCATAAACGTCAATTTTTTGTATTTATTTTTTTTTAGCCTATTCATTCAGGGCTGTATTCTTTCGCCACTGCTTTTCAACCTGTACACGGAACAAATATTTCTAGAGGCACTAGAAGAGTACAATGAGGGCATCAAGATTAATGGCGTACCAATAAGTAATTTTCGATATGCAGATGATACTATTATACTGGCCCATAACATCGAAGATTTACAGATGATGCTACATAGAGTTTATACAACTGGCAGCCGATTTGGACTGAAGATCAATAGAAAGAAAACTAAATTTATGGTGATCAGTAAAAAAAAATTTCAACATATCGACCTGCATATTGAAGACGAACGTATTGAAAGAGTACACCGATTTAAATATCTGGGATATACAGTAAATGACAAGTCGGACCCAGAAGTAGAGATTAAGATCCGAATTGAAATAGCAAGATCCAAATTCATCAAAATGAGAAAGCTTTTAAGCAACCGCAACCTAAGCATTAATCTCCGATGGCGCGCCACGAAATGCTACGTACTCTCTACGCTACTTTACGGCGTAGAAGGGTGGACGTTAACCGCAGCAATTATAAAGAAGTTCGCGGCTCTAGAAATGTGGCTGTATCGACGCATACTGAGAATACCTTGGACAGACAGAGTGACCAACACAGAGGTATTAAGACGAATGGGTAAAGAGGTGGAATTGTTAACAACTGTTAAAAGGAGGAAAGCGTCATACCTGGGCCATGTGTTCCGTAATGATAAGTACAGTCTGCTACAGCTTATCGTGGAAGGCAAGATTGAAGGTAGAAGAGGTTTGGGCAGAAAGAAGAAATCCTGGCTGAGAAACTTGAGAGAATGGTTTCAAATACCAGAAGCTGCGAACATAATTCATGCGGCACAAAACAGAGAAACATATCGTATGATGGTCGCCAACCTTCGGTAGAAGACGGCACATAAAGAAGAAGCCTATTCATTTAAAAGTTTAAAAAATTCACACTTAGAGTAGAGGCCTTTACAAAACCTGTTTATTTTTTTAAACAGCATATAACTTTTTATTTATTGATTTCTATTGATCGATTTTCACAAAGCCTTTGACACAGTTGAGCTAAGCAAAATATTACAGGCGCTAAAAGAATGCAGGCTAGATTATAGATATACTAAATTATTATACAAAATATACCTGCAGGCAACAACCACTGTCTGATTACATACTAACAGTAATCGCATAAAAATAGAACGGGGGTTAGACAAGGAGACCCAATGTCACCTAAGCTTTTTAATACGGTGCTAGAACATGCTTTTAAGAATTTGGATTGGATGACAAAGGGAATAAAAATAGATGGAGAATATCTAAACAACTTACGTTTCGCCGATGATATACTTATAATAGCTGAAGATCTAGGTATGGCAAGAGAGATGGTACAGAAACTCGTTGTGGCTACAGAAAATGTAGGTTTAAATATAAATATCTCGAAAACAAAAATCATGACCAATTTGGTGCCCAACCAGAACATCAGTATTGGTGGAAAGAAATAGAACTCGTAGATAGATATAAATACCTGGGACATGAAATTATGATTGGCAGAGATAACCAGACTCATGAACTGAAGAGAAGAGTCGGCCTTGGGTGGGCAGCATTTGGAAAACTGAGAGAAACTTTTAAAAGTGAGCTGCCCACATGCCTAAAGAGAAAGGTATTTGATCAGTGCGTCCTCCCAGTCTTGACGTACGGAGCAGAAACACTTACCTTAACAAAAGCAGCAGCTACCAAACTGAGAGTCACGCAGAGAAGAATGGAGTGGTCCATGTTAGGAATAACTCTCTGAGACAGAATAACAAACGAAGACATCAGGAGAAGAACCGGAGTGACTGACATCATCGAGAAGATAGCCAGACTAAAATGGAGATGGTCAGGACACATAGCCAGAATGACAGATGGGCGATGGACAAAGAGGTTATTGGAATGGAGGCCAAGGGAAGACAAGAGAAGCGTTGGTCGACCACCCACAAGATGGACGACGATTAAGAGACTCATAAAAGGTAAGCGGCGCAAGATAGACGGGGTTGGAAACATGAGGAAGAGGCCTATGTTCAGCAGTGGACTCTTGAGGCTGGATGATGATGATATAACTTTTTCCATTCTGTGTATGTGATCAACAACTATATCTTTGATTTTGTTCAGATTTTTCTGTACGAGCATCCATCTCCAAAACTTCGAAAAACTGTTTTTTAAAGGGTTTTTTGCAATTTAACCCATTTTATAGATTTCAAAATAGATTTAATTAAGGTTTCTTTATATGTCATATATATATATATATATATATATATATATATATATATATATATATATATATATATATATATATATATTCTAAATTAAACGAGTTTTTTAGCATATTCAAAAATTGGACGAAGTACACCTAAATCCTCCAAAAAATCATGTTCCTCACGGTTTTTAGTGGTTTTGGTGGGATTAAATATATTTTTTGATCTCGGCACAACCTGAATAAATTTTCTCATATTTTTCCTTTTTATGTAATTATAAAATAAGACCCAGCACAATTTGTCTAAAAATGGAGGATTCTGTATGCTTCGTATAGATGTCGCTCTTAGCGTACTCAGTTAGTTATTTCTTCTATATTGGCCAAATACTAGAGTGCATTTTATTTCAGTTTAAATTTCCACAAGTGTTCCTGATGAACGTTGAATAATACAAAACACGTGTAGAGTAATGATAGAATTCGAATTGAAATTAAATAAAAGTGTTTTTATGTGTGAACTGTAGATGCATGTAGGAGTAAGAGGTTATTTCAAACCTCTTACTTTGTTCAGTTTTTAGCTAAACATTGTTTAGTTATTTCAAAATTTAAAAAGCATCATAGTTTAGTTTATAATAAATTCCGATATTTTTGTTGTTTAACAGGTGTTATATATGAAGGACCATTTAATACTAATGGCATGTTTCACGGCTTTGGAACTTTAACTTATCCGAATGGACAACAATTCCATGGAGCATGGGAAAATGGTCACCTTGTTACCAAACTTAAATCAGCATCTGGTGAAAATGTACCTACCTTGTTTCACGTTCCAGATAGAAGGTATGATTAAATATATAAAAAAATACTTTAACTCCCACAGTTGACTATCGTCAAGTTACATATTTAATCAAAAATAATACTTGTTTTGATGGTGCGATTAATAACTGACAGTGATTTTTGGCACTCTTGCAGACTTCTCTGGTCTAAACTATTTTGTGGATAATTCTTTGTTAACAAGTTTATCAGTTCTTTTAGGGGCATGTATTTTCCGGTGCCATGGAACTCCTAACAGCGTATTACTTTTTGTTCCGCCATACATATGAGAATCCAACTTACCCTCCCTACCTAAAAACCTTTATACTAGCACCTATGTCCACTTGCTATATTTATAATAATCAGTTTTGGTTCAAAAGCCGTAATGTTAATTTTTTCTGCACAGTGATTGCATAAAGCTTCATCCGGAATACGAAGCCATATCCTTCTAGTGAAATAAAACTGTTTAGATTTACAGCACTCCTAAATATTTCTTTTATATCAGCCTGTTTACTAAGTATGTCGTCAGGCTGGGTAAGGGATTTATCCCCCTTGTGGGAATATATCCACGTAGAGAGAAATTTAGGCCTGCATTTGAGTATCTTTTGTAGATACTTTATCATCTACTCGCTATACTGGAGTTCATTTAAAATATTGCTATACTAACTTAACCATTGATATAAAACGCGTAGCGGAAAACTGGCTACAAGCGGTCCAGTGTAGAGAACACTGGAAAGAACTGAAGGAGGCCTATGTCCAGCAGTGGGCGCGATTGGAGTTTTAAAAGGTTTAGAGAGGTCCCCCTGGATTCGTACTCTGCATTAAACTTTTTCAAGGGTTAGTTTGATTAGACTTACGAACTGATTTGGTACTCCTAGGTCTATCATTGCTCTAAACAATTCTCTTTTCTTTACAAAGTCGTAGGTTGCCTTGTAGTCAATTAATATGTGGTACGTGTCTACACCGTATTGCAGTGTTTCCTCTAGAATTTGTCACAGGGTTAAAATCTGATGAATTGTTGATTTACTACCTGTGAAACCAGCCTAGTATTGGCCTATTATTCGCTCTGCCCGTGCCGGTGTTAGTTTCTAAGAAGGAGAGGTTCTGAACTGAGTAGGGGCTTCTCAGTACTTCTTGGAAAACACACTCGGAGGGGGCAGCTCTCAACCCCGACACGGCGCGTCCCAATGGCTGATAGGGAACGTCCTACAGATATGTAGGACAGGTGCGAATAAGGCTTTGCCAAATAAACACCCGCGGATCAACTGAGAGCATGGCATAGGGCAGCAGCTATGTCATTACAGGATCAGAGCGGTAGAGACAAGATCTCTGTATCGGTCTGATACCGGATAGTCACGGGCGGTAATCAAATTATGATTTAACCGGTTGTGATACTGCGGTGCAGAAAGCAACGGGAAACTACTGCACTATATTTTCCCTAGTAAAGTAACCTATGCAAAACAAAAATTTAATGGCCCCTAGTCCGCGGCAGACCTTAAGTGGTCAGGGGGTGCAAAGAATCCCCGCGAGGAGGAACCACCCGAAAGTGGAATACATTAATAACCAATCCTTGGTACGAATAGGCACTTGGAACGTACAAAGTATGTTTGAACCCGGTAAAGTTCAAAATACCATTCGTGAAATGAAAAGACTTGGAGTGGACATACTAGGTATAAGTGAGATGAGATGGTTTGGTTCTGGAAATGTATCCATCGATGACTACACAATATACTACTCGGGAACGAACAGCAGAGACACTGGAATGGTGTAGGCCTTATAGTAACAGAGCAGATAAAAAAAGCAGTAATTGATTTCATACCCTATTCTGATCGAATGCTTCTTTTGAAATTACAGAGTAAGCCCGTAAACATAAACATACTCCAAGTTTATGCACCAACTGCTGACAAGTCGGATGATGAAATAGAGCAGTTCTATGAGAATCTCCAAGAATTACTTAAAATGACAAAGAGTTATGAAACAACATTAATCGTAGGAGATTTTAATGCCAAAGTGGGTTGTGGAAAAGTGGAACATATTTGTGGAAATTACGGACTGGGCAATCGCAATGATAGAGGTGACAGACTACTACAATTTTGCCAGGAGAAACAACTAACTATCATGAACACCTGGTTCAAGCTACCACTACGGAGGCTATATACGTGGAAATCACCCGCAGATAATAAAAACAATTGTGTCCGAAATCAAATCGATTACATTATTATAAACCAGCGATATAAAAACGCAGTAACGGATACAAGAACATACCCAGGCGCAGATGTTCCATCGGATCACAACCTACTAGTGGCTAAATTAAAAATAAAGTTCAAAACGCTAAAAAAGACTGTCAAAAGAAAAACCGACATCAATTTACTTAAACAAGAAAATATACAAAGTATGGTAAAGACTAAACTCAACGAGGAATGTGAAAGACTCCAAAGAGAGTTATCACCAACTACAGAAGGCTTATGGACTGAAGTCAAGAATGCTTTTACTAGCGCCGAGAAATATATAAAAGACACTAATAACAAAAGAAAATCTAAACCCTGGATGACACAAAAAATTCTGGGAATGATGGATACTCGAAGAGCCTACAAAAATAAAGATAATGAAAAATATAGGGAGATACATCGTCAAATCAAGAAAGAAATAGCTACCGCAAAAGAAAATTGGATGATAGAAAACTGCCAAGAGATCGAAGAATTAATAAAGAAACATGACAGTCAAACGCTTCACAAAAAAATAAAAGATCTAGCTGGAATGACAAAACAAAGACTCCCTTGTAGATTAACAAACGACGAGAATGAAACGATATGGGAATTAAGCGATCTAAACAACGTATGGGGACATTACATAGAAGAACTATTCTCGGACACACCACTAAACAACATAATATATAAAAACCATGAAACCAGTCCTCCTATATTAAAACAAGAAGTAGAGAGAGCAATCAAAAACGCAAAAAATGGGAAAGCCCCTGGCCCCGATGACATACATACGGAAGTCATAAAGCTACTGGAAGAGAAACATTTAAATATAATCGTCAAATTATTTAATCAAATATATACAAGCGGTGAAATTCCACAAGACTGGTTAAAATCAGTCTTTATTCCCCTTCCAAAAACTAAGGGAGCAAAGAAGTGTGGTGATTTCAGACTTATTAGTTTAATGTCGCATATGTTAAAGTTATTCTTGAAAGTTATTCACCAACGCATTTATAAGAAATGTGAACAGGATATCAGTGATGAACAATTTGGCTTCCGAAATGGATTTGGGACACGGGAAGCATTAACCAGTTTTATTATACTGCTGCAAAAATGTCGAGACCAAAAAAAGGATCTCTTTTTATGTTTTATTGACTATCAAAAGGCCTTCGACAAAGTAAAACATGATAAGCTGATGGATTGCCTTCACAAAAAGGGACTAGACGAGAACGATTTTAAAATTATCCAAACGCTGTATTTTAACCAAACTGCAGCAGTTAGAACAGAAGCCGGTGACACAGAAATATTCAATATCAAGCGAGGTGTACGACAGGGGTGTGTATTGTCACCACTACTTTTCAATATATATTCGGAAGAAATATTTGCACGAGCACTAGAGCAATCAAGAGAAGGTGTTAAAATTAACGGCAGAGTTCTAAATAATGTACGATACGCCGACGACACGGTCCTAATTGCAGAGAGCGCACAGGATCTCCAGACACTCTTAGATCGCGTCAGATCGATCGGAGAACAATACGGCCTCAGCATTAACGTCAAGAAAACAAAAACAATGATTGTCTCCAAAACATCCATCCATCCACCCATGGCTTTAAACGTGAATGGTAACATTATCGAAAATGTCGAGAAATTTCGATATCTAGGGTGCTGGATAACGAAAGATATAGATCCAGACATAGAAATAAAATCGCGAATTGAACAAGCAAGAAATGTCTTTTTAAAAATGAAACAAATGTTTACGTCCCAAACACTCAATCTCAAAATCCGATACCGAATGCTGAAATGTTACGTTTACAGCACCTTACTATATGGAATGGAGGCCTGGACCTTCAAAATCAACTCACTAAGGCGTTTGGAAAGTTTTGAAATGTGGTTATTTCGAAGGATGCTGAAAGTCCCTGGACAGCGCATATGAGCAACGAGCAGGTCCTACACAAGATGGGTACCGACAGAGAACTCTTAAAAATAATGAAAACACGGAAAACCTCATATTTGGGACACATATACAGAAATGAGAAATACCAGCTACTGCAGCTTCTTATAGAGGGGAAGGTAGAAGGAAAACGTGGTCCTGGTAGACGGCAGGCGTCCTGGTTGAAGAACATTCGTGAGTGGACTGGTTTGGATTCTCAATCTTTAATAAGAAAAGCCAGGGACAGAAATGATTTTGCTGAGGTTATCGCCAACCTTCATTGAAGACGGCACCCAAAGAAGAAGATTCGCTCTGCATATTATGATATCGTGGCCACCTTCTTTATATAATTCTGGTGGGAGATTATATATTCCGGGTGATTTGTTTCTGGATAGTTTGTTTATAGCGTCTTTAACTTCCAGGATTGTTGGTGGATCCTCCTCCCTCTCGTCTGCTCCGCTTACCTTACAGACAAAAGTCTTCCAGGTTTTCTTCTCCTTTCTCTATATTAAGTATCTGGTTAAAATATTTAGTTCATCGGTTTAGTATGCCTGTTTTTGTTGTTAATAAATCACCATTCAAACTTCTACATTGATTTATGTTTTCCTTGAATTATTTTCTGTTGATATTAACTTTCTTATTGAATTTTCTGAATTCTTTCTCTCTGTTGAGGTTTTCTATATCTTGAAGTTCCTTTTCTAAGTGGTTTTGTTTCTTCATTCTGTGTATTTTCTTCTCTTTGTCTAGTTCTAGTTCGGAGGGTAAGCATTTTTTGCATAGGCTTCATTTTTTTTCTGTGTTGCGTCTTTACATTTATCGTCAAACCAGTGATTTTTTCGGGTACAAGTTTCTGTTCCTATTTCATCTTGTGCTGCTGACCCAATATCTTTTTTGATCCTGTTCCAGTAGGAGTCTATATCTCTCTGGTCTTCTTCGCTTAGACTTTGATTTCTTAATCTATTGGTAATATTTTCTCAGTAATGTTTTGCAACAGTTGCATCTCTCAGCTTCTGTACATTGGATTTCTTTCTATCTATTTTTTTTCTTTGTTGGAATTTAAAATTCTAGCCCCTAGTGTTGAGATTACTAAACAATTGTCTGAGTCTATGTTTGTTCCTCTATAACTTCTGCGTTATGTTCAGTCCGTGTCTGTCTTGAATCTATTAAGATGTGATCAATCTGACTAGTTGTTCTTTCATCAGGGGAGGTCCAGGTTACCTTGTGTATATTCTTGTGTTCAAAGTAGGTGCTAGCGACGGTCATGATGTTCAGTGCTGCTGCTAAGTTTATCAGTCGTAATCCATTATCGCTACTGATGTTGTGTATGCTATGCCTTCCTATAGTCGGCATAAAAACTTGCTCTCGTCCTATTCTTGCATTCATGTTACCTTGCACTAGTTTGATGATATTTCTGGGGCATCATTTATAGGCTTATTCTAGGTCTTTGAAAAACTGTTCTTTAATGTGTTCTAGTTTGTCTTCAGTTGGGCCATGTGCATTAATTAAATTTTTATAGCATGTACAAATAAAGAAAGTTTAGTACTGGTGTGCCCATTAGTGTTTTCCTTCTGTGATTCTAAGGCAATAAGTTTTAAACACCGTTGAGCGAAGATGTAGGTGTGTTTGTCCTTACACCTTGTCCTGATGGCTTCGTTTCGCGCACCAGTCATAGGTTGCTGGTTCTTTTCCTTGGGGAACAAGGTTTTTCCTTAGGGAAATAATTTCACTTTATGTACTTATTTGAAGGACCACCCAGAAAACTGGGGCAAATAAAAGGCTCGAAAAAAACGTTTTAACAAGTCTATTTAAACGATTACAACGTATTTTGGACACCGATATCTTGCATATGATACACACTTGTCGGTGATACAATATTAACCCGAACTAAGTAAACTTAGAAGAAAAATTAGGGAGGCTAAAGAGACCTACTTCTCTGAAAAATGTAAAGAAATAGAAGAACTTCAAAACAGATGTGACAACTTCAACCTACATTAAAAAAGTCAAAGAACTAGCCGGAGTAGGAAATAGAAGAACCTCAAATATATTGCTCGACAAAAATGGAAATATTATATTAGAAACAGAACAAAAACTACGACGATGGAAAAAATACATCGAAGAATTATTTCATGACCAGAGAGAAGCTAGTACATCTGTAGATAGCCAAACGGGAGATGTAGGTCCAGAGATAACCAAATCAGAGGTTAGTCAGGCATTAAACTCAATGAAAACCAATAAATCTGCTGGTCCAGATGAATTACCAAGCGAGCTACTAAAGTTGATCAACGAGAAAAACCTGGACATAATAGTAGAACTGTTCAACGCTATCTATACTACGGGAATCATTCCTAGAGAAATGTTGACATCAGCATTTGTGTGTTTGCCAAAGAAAGTAAATGCCAAAGAGTGTAGTAACTATCGAACCATAAGCTTAATGTCACATACCTTGAAAATTATCCACGCCAGAATACACTCTAAACTGGAGCTGGATATTAGTGACACTCAATATGGGTTCCGCAATGGTATGGGTACCAGAGAGGCATTATTCTCGTTCAATGTGCTGACACAGAGATGTTTGGATGTTAACCGTCCCCTTTACGTCTGTTTTATAGACTACAATTAAGCGTTTGATAAAGTAAAACATGATCGACTCCTGGAAATTCTAAAAAATAAAAACCTAGATGAAAGAGATTTAAGGCTAATAACACACCTTTATTACAATCAGCGAGCAATAGTAAGAATCGAAAAAGAAACATCTGAAGAAATGGAAATAAAGAGAGGAGTCAGGCAAGGCTGCATTCTATCACCTCTATTATTTAACGTCTATTCTGAAGAGGTAATTCGAGAAACTCTGGAAGATGAAACAGTCGGCATAAGAGTAAATGGAGTCTTAATTAACAACATCAGATATGCAGATGATACAGTAATAATAGCCGATAGTTTACAAGACCTGGAAAGACTCATGAGCAAAATAGTCATGTGTAGTAGGGAGTACGGACTCTCTCTTAATGTCAAAAAGACGAAGTTTATGAAAATTTGTAAAAACAACTATAATACTAACGAAATCTTGATAGTAGAGGGCCAGCAGATCGAAAGAGTAAAAAAGTACACTTACCTAGGAACACTTATAACAGAAAATAATGACTACACGGCAGAAATCAAAGTCAGAATCGAAAAAGCACGTTCTAATTTTATAAAAATGAAAAAGGTCCTATGTGGCAAAGATCTAACATTAGCTCTTAAAGTACGCCTAACAAAATGTTACGTATACAGTGTACTATATTATGGAGTGGAATCATGGACGTTAAATCTAGATACCATGAGACGACTTAACGCCTTTGAAATGTGGACCTATAGAAGAATTATGAGGGTTTCCTGGGTAGATAGAGTTACAAACAATGAAATACTGAGAAGAATAGGCAAAGAGAAGGAAATTGAACTTACAATTAAAGAAAGAAAGCTACAGTATCTCGGACATGTGATGCGGGGCGATAAGTATGGCATCCTGCGACTCATAATGCAAGGAAAAATAGATGGCAGAAGAAGCATCGGAAGAAGACGAATTTCATGGCTGAAGAACCTGAGAGAATGGTTTGGATGCAGCTCAAAACAACTATTTAGAGCTACTGCCTCAAAAATTAAGATAGCTATGATGATTGCCAACCTCCGTAGCGGAGATGGCACCTGAAGAAGAAGAAGAAGAAGTAAACTTAATAATATCACGACGTGGTTAAAGCTTCTTAGGTGCGGCTTGCGCGAATAGAGCCTTCAACCAAAGCTGGAATTTGAACTGATACTAATTTGATGAATTTGAACTGCGAACTAATGTCTACTCTCTAGCTTCCATCACTACGCTCTTAATTGTTTCTAAATATTCAGAAATCTCCCCCCTGAGCCCCTCGACCTAGTTAAAAGATACGTTTACATTTCAAATACCTTCGACTTTGAATTCATTGGTAAAAACTACCTGAGAAGGGTATTTGTCTTAACTTTCGGAATTTTCGAATGAGTCAAACGGATAATTTGGAAAATACTTATCCTTTCAAATGAAATCGTAGGCTTCCACGGCCAGAGTCAGAATTATAGTTTATTCGTCTTCAGGGTTCTTCGTGGGTTCAGGGTCTTCGTGGGTTTATCTCACTAGTGAGATGAACCCACTTTTGGGTCACTCACAAATGACACGGTCCAAACCCGGAAGACGAATAAACTATAATACTAATCCTTTCATTGTTACGAACTCTATGAAGGTTTTAGAAACTTGTGTAGAAAGTTATTTGAATGCAAGCTATCGGCGCTTTACAGATTATTAGTTAGTACAAAGAAATTTTATATATCTAAACTAATATACAACATGATATAATAATATGATACAAAAATAAACTAAAAATATTAAATATTGTTGTTACGCAACAACCGTGCTTAATTACTTTCTTTGCAAGATTTAGATATACACGATTTATTCTTAAAAACACTTCTCTTAATTCTGGGTTTTGAAATACTTTTTATTTATTTTAGATTTTCCTATGAACAGAAGTATGGTCTCGGTGTTCCTGGTAAAGAGTACCTTACAAATAGACAACCCACTCCTAAATTGTCGAATGGATGTTATGATGTAGGGGAAGGTACCTATTGCCCATCAAAAGGATACATTTTATCATATACTACAGAATATTATGAGCGAAAATTTAGTTTAGATAGGTCTTCTGTAGTTGATTACAGGTTTCGTTTATTAAACATGGAAGATGAAGATTGGCAATATTATAAAGACAATGAAGTGTTAGCAGATCTAAAAGCCCATATCGACAAAAACTTTATTATCGGCAAAGAAAGAGTCTTAGAAATACCTATACAGAAAAAAATAGAATGGATTAAAAAGTATTGTCGAAGTAACCCAGAATATCCTGTTGGATATGTACCTCAACTGTACGAAGTATTCACAACGGGCGCCAAAGATGACAAAATGCGAGTTGAACAAGAGTACGAGAAAGCACCAAAATATTGTGATGAGGATTGCCCATCATCTGACCCAACACCAAACAAATTGTTTTCATCAACATTTACTACAAAGGTCAGTAGAGGATTACGAAAGAAAACTTTGGAAAGTCTAAATGCTTTTCGTCGAAAAAAGCCTACGATTAAAAAAAGTATTGGCGGGACATCATACAAATTATCGAATAATTTGTCACTAAAAACTTCCGAAAAGGATTTGTTGTGGATGTATACACATAGTCCTCATTCCAGAAAAAGAAGTACGTATTCAGTAAAGACTGTAGATGATCAAACGCAAGATATTAAAAAAGGTATACTTAAAGCTGAGCCTGAGGAAATTGGAGATAGCGTTGCTGCCTTGGAAGCTATTAAAGCTACTGCAGCAAGAACAGCAGATATATTACACCAAGACCTAGAAACTGATATTATTAACTTATCATTATCAGAAACAACTTCAACACTAACGCAACAGCAACTTCTTTCTGCCACTAGCACTTTAGAATCGCTTCTTTATAAACACGACAAAAAAGGTGAAAAACCGGACGTTGCAGACAGATCAACAGAAATTTCTTTAGCTAGTGGCGAGGTTATAATTCCCTTAAAAACCGATAGTCTACGTTTGGAGCCCATCTTAGAACCAACAATTATTCCGAAAAAGGAGAAACGATTATCGCATGAGATTCTTAAAACAAAAAAAGGAAGAATTACTGAAAGTTCTAGTGATGGAGAAATCGTGGAAAAAGAGTTAATTAGGCCCAAGCTGATCATATCAGAAGCTAGCATATGCTACGTTGCTAGAAAACCTGAGGATGTCATGAATATGGGCCAAAGGCGAACTAAAAAAATATATCTAAATGACAGTAAATATCAAAATCTAAATTATAAATAATTGTATTATATACATCAGAATAGTTCGAATTAAAATATTTTTAGATTGAAGAGTTACGATTTGTATTGAAGTTTTTGTATGTATACTCAATATACAAAAAAAATTAAATAGGTTATTTCAGAAATAGTCCAGTCGTCAGAGAGTTGACCCATAAAAATCATACGAACAAGCTGAATTTTGCAGATAAAAATTAATTTTGGGATTCCAAAAAGGAGCAAAAAGTTTAACCACTTTCATACGGGCTTTCCCCTAAAACCTCCCTCGCAGGAAAGTAAAAAAGTGAAAAATCAAGGTTTAATAAAATTTGTATCAGCTCGACGGCAAAAGTTCGATATCTTTTAATTCAGTTTGTCACCTCGTGGGACAAATAAGGGTCTAACCATCTTCTGATACCTCCAAGTATTCTGTAAAGGGCTTCGGTTGTCGGAATGTCGTCGAGAGCTCCTCTACTTAAGCCCATTTTCAGTGTATGGACTGAAAAATTTTCTCTTCTTCGGTGACTTGCCTTGAAAAAGGCAAGTTATTGCTTGCATGACAAAGTATTTTCGAAATAAACATATCAATTGTAGTTGAATAATAACTCTCAGTCATAAAGTATAGAAAAATTCAGGAAGCAGAGCCCCGAGAGAACTAAGCTCTCGGAGAGCCCGTGAGGGACTGACCTGGTCGACCTGAAAATCGCCAAGGGATTTCCAGGTCAAGAACCACTGGGAAATTCGAGGCGAGGCGATGCGCATCGAGGTGCGTACTAGTCTTCCGATAAATGTTGAGTTGACATGTGACATATGACAGCTTGACATGTGACATATGACAAGCTGTCATATGTCACACTTCACTTCAACATTTCCGTTAGAACTTGAGTCATTCTGTCTCTGGCTTCTGTACACAATGTAGCGTCGCCTATTTTTAAAATTTTTAGAGTGTTTGTTTGTCCTTGTGTAGTGTAGTGTGATGTACCATTTTAGGTTTATAACATTTTATTCTTATTGTAAGTCTTAAAACGTTAATCACATAAAAACTTTTATCAACCATCAACTTCGAGTTTTTATCGAAGTTAATTAATTTCTTTAGTTAAAAAAAACTTTTCTTGGCTTATTTCAGATGCCCTGAAGATGATCTAGGGATCAAAAGTACTTGGGCAAGATTAAATTAATTAAACTGTGCTCGATATTTGCCTTTTATTTGATCAATGTTTATTTATTCGAGCATTCAACTTTATATCAATTTATTGACTATGGCAATTTTGGTTGATACTTACAGAAAACTATCCTGTAAGAGAATGATTATATTCTTGAACATTTGGTTCGTTAGACAGTGCATTTCACATCTACAGCAAGTCGCTTCTACTTTTACTAAGGTCAAAACATCAAAAAATGTACCTAAGAAAAAAACAGATTTTGGAGAAAAATATCCTGAAACAGAGAACTTAAGAAGTACTATACCAAACTTCATCATATTAATGTCAATCTTAAAATAACTTATGATCAAATTTTGCAACAACATCCTTAAATTCTTGCCAACGACTCTTTTAACGACATAGAAGATGAGGTCTTCCGCTTACAATTTACCAAGAAGAGAAGTCTTATCAACAAATTAAACCGTTTGATTTTGCAAAAACAAGACAGAAGCACCTCAACACTTATACATGTTTTCAGATCACCAATTTCATCCTAGAGTCTTAAATGTAAGTAACACTAACTTTTCAGAGGATGAACTGTATTTTTAGGATTAGGCCTTAAGTTTTCTTGTCAGAATTTTAGGTTAAATGACTCAGTGCTGGGAGGATTTGCAGTAGAGCTGGATACTCTAATAGAAGGTATGACTACCAATGCTGATATTAACCCTCGAGCGGGCGCGCCGGTGTATTTTCTACACGTCCAATAGAAAAAGTCGTTTAAAAATAGAAGTGTCATTGATCTGGCGATATCGTCGCATCTATTCGTCCAGTAGAGATCTGTCGTTCGAATAGTTGAGTAATATTTTTTGTTGCAGCCGAGTTTTGTAAGAATTCTTAGAAATATGAGAGTGTGACGGTTTTGTGTACATAATACATGGCGCGCCTTCTAATGGTATTTTATCCATTAATTATTTTACTTTATAAAAAGTTGTAATTCGAAATTAAAGTCAAATTAACTTAAGTTTTACTTTATTTTTGGTTGAACAGGATATTGTAACATAATTGAAAAGAAATATAACGGCTACGCTGAGATAATATCATGTAAGAATTTAGTTGCATTGTTATATTATTTGTTTATTACTTTTTTTTATTTTTGCAGGGCTAGAGTATAACTGAGGCTGAGTTATATAAAATTCTTAATAAAGACCCAGAAACAGAAACTAGTGAAATAGAATATTTCGATGAATCTGAGACAGATGAAGAAATAATACACCATGATGACCACAATTCTGAATCTGAACAAGAACAGAATGACCACGACAGAGCCAGTAACTTCGAGGATAAATACTGCAGTAAGTACGACTGCTTTCGAATATTTTCAAGGTAAAGATAAAAAACTGCATGGCGTAAGACTCCGCTGTCGTCGCAATCAAAAATTAAAAAGAAAAATATTATCAAAATACTTCCAGGACCAAAGGCAGTGGCTTCAAAAGTGACCTCAGAACTTTCAGCTTTGAAAAAAATTATAGATTCTGATATATTAGAGAACATCGTACAATTTACTAATTTGTACATTGATAGTAAAAAAGAATCTGTTCAATATAAAAGAGAACGAGATATGAAACATACTTCAAAAAGTGAAATAATGGCGTTACTGGGAGTGCTTTACCTCCTAGGCACTAAAAAGGCTAACCATACTAACGCACTTGAACTTTGGACATCTGATGGAACAGGTATAGAAATTCTTAGAGCTGTAATGAGTTACAAAAGATTTTTATTTTTGTTACGTTCAATGCGCTTTGATGACAAAACCACAAGACATGAACGGAAAATATATGACAAACTTGCACCAATTAGAAAAATATTGGACGCATTTGTTAGTAACTGTAAAAATTCCTATAATCTTGGTGAATTTGTTACAATAGACGAAAAACTAGAGGGATTCAGAGGACGTTGTAGTTTCATCCAGTATTTACCAAATAAACCAGCAAAATACGGTATCAAGCTGTTCATTTTGGGCGATGCACAAACTTACTTTGTTGGAAATTTAGAGGTTTATTGTGGACGGCAACCTGAGGGGCCTTATGCTGTATCAAACTCTCCCAGTGATATTGTAGATAGGCTTATTGATTATATAAAAGGTTCAAATCGCAATTTGACAACCGATAATTGGTATACCAGTTATCCTTTAGCTATTTCCCTTTTGGAAAATAAAATAACTACAATTGGCACTTTGAGAAAAAACAAAAGGGAAATACCTATTGAATTTTTACCCCAAAAACAAAAAGAAGTGGGAACGTCACTCTTTGGATTCCAGAAAAATGTCACTTTGGTTTCATTTGTTCAAAAAAAAAGTAAGTCGGTCATACTTTTATCCACGATGCATGACACTGCCACCGTAGACGTCGAAACTAAAAAACCAGAAATTATTCTAGATTATAATGCCACAAAAGATGGTGTGGATACTATTGACCAAATGTGTGCATCATATTCTGTAAAAAGAATAACCAGAAGATGGCCACTAATTATATTTTTTTCTCTAATGGATATGGCGGGTATCAACGCGCAGGTGTTTGTGCAATAAACAATCCAAAATGTCGCGAATTTTCTAAAGAATTTAAGCTTGAGTTTAATGAAAGTACATCTTTCAGAAAGAGCGACAATGCGATATCTTCCTCAGGATATTCAAGGTTTTCTAATGAAATATAAATCATGTGAAGAACCTACTAGAACAGAAGTGCAAAGCTCTAGAAAACGTGGACGTTGGGCAATATGTCCAGGCTCAAAAAATTCCAGCACAACAGTTAGATGTGGGCTATGTAGAATATTTGTATGTAAAATGCATTCAGAAACCACAATTACCTGCGTAAAATGTAAGAACAATGAACGGCAGCAATCAGAAGAAATCGAGTGAAGTAACCCGTAGGTACATGTTTTATGTTTATTATTTTATGTAACAATAAACTATTTTTGTAAATCGTGGTTGTCATTTTGTTAAAACGCACTAAATTTGGTAAAATCAACTAAAATGTGTTTTGTGTACAAAATACACAGCGCGCCCGGTTATGAAACGGTAGTCGGCGCGCCTGCAGTAGGGTTAAACAATATTTGAGAAACTCTTGCAATAGCTTATTTCGACAACAACAATGTAAGTATAAATGCAATTTTTATAGAAATCACCATATTTTAAAAAAACAGGATTTGCTAAAATCAATTAAACAAAAAAACTAATAGATATTCTCTTGTACTCAGCAAGGCTGATAAGGGAAATTGTAAACTTAAAAAAAATTCAATACATAGAGAAAGTGGAATATTTTCTTTCAGAAAACAGTTTTGTAGTTTTGGAAAAAAATCCATTTAATACATTTATTAATAAAACAAAAGCAATGGTTAAATTGTTTGATGACACTATTACTAGATATAAGAACTGAAAGTTAACTGTATCTAATCCTATAACACCTAGGTTATATGGACTTCCTAAAATCCATAAACACAGTGAAATGTGCAGATCACATATCTATGATTGTGACTGCCCATCCAAGCTGTCATATGTCACATGTCACCTAAACATTTCCGTTAGATCGTGAGCTATTCTGTACATAATGTAATTTCGCTTATTTTAAAAAAATTTAAAGCGTTTGTCCTTGTGTAGTATAGTGTGATGTACCATTTTATGTTTATAACATTTTAATTTTGTCGGATAGGCCGCAATTGACGAAGTAAGTCTAAAAACGTTATTAACATAAAAATTTTTATCAACTCTCAACTTCGATTTTTTATCGAAGTTAATTGTCTTATTTCAGATGCCCCTGAAGATGATCTAGGGATCGAAAATACTTGGGCAAGATTAAACTAATTAAACTGTGCGTGATATTTGCCTTTTATTTGATCAAATTTGATTTATTCTAGGATTCAACCCTATATAAAAATGAAAATAATTTAAAAATTGTATAGGAAAGGCCAAAAAATAACCCAGTTTC